TCAAATTTGTTTCCGTTTTATGGACGGTTAAAAGTGTAACTGTTGCACGAGTCACAACATTCAATTTCGTGCGAATAAAATGCGTCAAGTTATGTAAAATGAAAATGCTATAAGTCGGGAAAACTATTTCCGATTTCGAGATAAAATGACTCTGACTGCAAGGAGTTAATCTTTGGTTCGCAAATCTTTTGGCTCGGAACACGAATGTGGATTTCGTTACAAGTAGACTGCGGATGTTTACGCAAAATGAAAATGTGTTAAACAGGAATTCGGAATTTCCTCTGTCGACTCTCGGACAGCGGACTTCTCTGATAAAAATATACCCGATTATGCTTAGGATCGTTTGTAATTTTATTTGTCGATCTTTGACAACAACGTATTTTTTAAGGTGCTCCTTGTAGATTCGTTAACTCTTCCACAGGTCTTAATGAAACGTGTGAACATTGAAATTAGTTGTCAGTAAATTGCTATTCAAGTAAGAATTTTTTAATTCCGGGTCCAAATATAAATCGATTGTGACACGTGGATATTCATTGATTCTTTTAGTCTGACGACTGTTAAAAATTGCAACTTTTCGCCTTTTGCATGCATAAAATCCGTCGTTCGATTGTAAAATACTTTTGCTATGAAATAATTAAAAATCTTCGGCTTTTTAGACGATTGTGAATCATTTTTCTATGATCTTGTAAATGTCGATAAAATGCAATTTATTAGATTGAAAGGTGACACACAATTTTCTGCGCCGTGGATAAAATACAAGTTAAGTAGGACAAAGTAAAAATAGGTTACTCGACTTTTTCGAAGAACTTGCATGCTGAGATTGGCACCGTGTCAGGAAGATCATAGTTGAATAAGGGTGTCAGGAGAAACCTTGATCCAAATTAAACCATCGATGGCCCGTTTGAGAGATTTCAAGTGGGAAACAACTTGTGCCAAGTTACCCCCTTCCATCTTGATCCAGAGGACGGTAATATGTAAAATTCTAATGTGGAGTGAATTCATAAGAGTGTCTTGTCAGCAAAAAAGACAGCAGCACAGAAAATATGCGATTAACATATTTACTAGAAAATATTAAAAATAGCTAGTCTAACTCTGCTGCATAAAAGCATCAAAAAGAAGCGAGTCTCTAATGTTCCGCTCGATAAAAGAGTCTTCTTAGCGAATAAAACAGAATATTCAAAAATACAACGAATCTCCTTAATGTTCCATTCCATGAAACTGTTTTATTAGAACGTAAAATAAAGAATACCAAATGTATTGGATCTCCAATGTTTTCCACGACAGGACCGTTTCACTAAAACCCGAAGCACGCAACAAAAAAGTTAATTGTTCTCGAAATTCTGTTTAATAAAACAGTTTTATTAACACGTAAAATGAGGACCACGGAAACACCTCCGCCCAACAAACTCGGCAGACACAGGAGCGAAACATCCCGAACAAAAGCGAGCAAAATCGCAGACACCGCTAAAGCAATTTCACGACGCGATTCACAGGAAACCTCGTCGGAATACGAAACGAAGCGTAATTTTTGCCGATTAGCACACACCTCCGGAGCTCGAGTAGCAGCGATTCACGGGGAATCCTGAGGCACGCATTAAACCGTGGCGCGTTAATCGTGCACGCATCGAAATCACCGTGGAGAGTGTAGAAGCGGATTCGCGCGTCGCGGATGCACGCTGCACAGTGTGGTATTTGCCCGATTTCCCTGGTAATAATTATTTTCCTCAGTTAACGTGTCTGAAATGTGCCTGCTATCTTCTTTATAGCATTTTAACTTAGACAGAATAATTATAAACAAATAAGAATTATTAATAAAATATTGAAAATGTTGTTTTTATTGTTTAATGAATTCAAATATGCCTGTTTACTTAATTATGGTATTTCGACATAGTGGGAATAATTTTAAGCATTAAGAAACAAATATTTACTATTATTTGCAAAGAAACTGAAAATAATCAAAATCGTATCTTTAAATACTATATGAAACCATTAAAAAGACAATTAAAAATTGTCACCAAGTATTAAAATTGTGAAGTATTAAAAATGATCGTAAATGGTAAAAGAAACTAAAAACAATTAAAAGCTATTGAAAACAATTTTATACTCTAATTTTGTCCCATTTAATAAGCCACAGCCTTATATAATAATATATCATTTAATATGAAGTATTTTGCTCCATGC